GTGTTGTGTGATATGGAGGCAGTTGATATCCTGGACCGAAGACCCATTACTGCTGAAAATGAAAAGGTAATGAATGATAAGTTGCGATACAGATCTGATCATGAATATTCATAGAACGTAAATTGAGAAAAACCATGTTTGAGTTTGTTAACATTTATATCTGCTTCTGTGCTCAGATGTTTGTTTTATAATTTGCTCCATTTTTATGGGTTTGGGATGATTTTGATAAAAATAGATAGTTAACTGAAGCTTCATGGATTCAGATTATAGGGATACAATGACTAAAGTTTGCAAAAGAAAAAAATACCTATGAAAAAGGAAAGTAAAGAAGAGGGAAAACCAGAGAAATAGAAAGAAAAAGGAGAATATATAGTTAAATACATACATACATACATATATATATATATATAAATATATATATATATATATATATATATATATATATATATATATTATATATATATATATATATATATATATATATATATATATATATATATATATATATATATATTATATATATATATATATATATATATATTATATATATATATATATATATATATATATTTATATTTATATATTTATATATGTGTGTGTATACAATATATATGTATATGTGTATCTATCTATTAATCTATCTATTATCTATATGCATTTACATATGTATATATATATTAGCATTTATGGATATCTTTAAAGTATATTCTTATTACAGTCAGGAGAAACTAACTTGTGGAAGTATGGATCCGTGCATCAAGACCACTACACTAATATGAACATTACAGGAAATGATGCCTGTGTTGCGTGCCGTTCCTTCCAACATAATCAGGTAGGGGATTTTTTTTTAATGACGATTGGAAGTTATACAAAGTCCCTGTATGCCTTCTTTATGTATTGTATATTCAGCTGATGAACACGAATCTGAAGACATTCATGCCAAAGTTGATAATTTATTACAAACTTTACTTCTGTTCTTCTCATTCTTTTTTACTTTTTCTTTCTATATCAGCCTGGGTTTATCAGCAATGATGACGCAGCACGAGTGAGTTATGTGAGCTCACAGTTTCCCTTACAGTCTGAGCTGTATGTTCCTGTGCGACATGCGTGCATTAGATCCTTAAGTTGCGAGGTGAGTTCTATGCTTATGCAATGAAGGTATTTTTATTTTTAAGGATATTCTTAATCTCTTGATGGTCTGTTTAGAAATGCTTTCATTTTAGGTGTGTCTTTTACTTCGGACTCTTTGATTTTGTTGAGTATACAATTGTACTTATGAATAGGAAAAATTGTGAAAATATTGCTATATTTTTCTTTTTCTTATTTATCCATTTTATCTTCCTTTTTACTTTCCCTTCTCTTTGGTAGTACATTTTCTTTCTCCTCCTCCTCCTTATCCTTTCTCTACTCTCTTCCCTTCCCATCTTCAGTCATGTGTGTACTCAGATGATAAAACTAATGTGATAAAATGAACTGTGACTTTACCTGCAAATACAGTTCTTATTGCAATAATCTATAGCTTTATAATTGATCCATCACAGTAATTAATTGGTAATGAAGTTGTGAAACAATTACAGTAATTAGCCATCTGCTTCTGCTTCTCTCTTGTTCCAGGTTTGCCCTGGTCGAGAGGGCCCTATTTACTTTGGTGATGAGGCGCGTGGACATGTCCTCTCCCACACTTTCTTCTTGCGAGATGTACAGGCTCGAGGATTCCAAAGATGGTAAGTGTTGTGGAGGCTGGCTTGATAATTTCTCTCTTTCTCTTTCTATCTTGTCTCTGTCTTAGTTTCTTTATCTTCTGTCTTCCTCTATCTCTGTCTCTGTTTCAGTGCCTCTGTAGCTGTGTTTGCCTACCTGTATCTATTTGTATATGTCTGTGTTTATGTCTTTGTCAGTATGTGTGTGTGTCTATGTCTCTCTACCTGTATGTCTGTATCTCTGTATTTATGTTTGTGTATAGAAAGCTACATGTTATACAGAGTACAAAATTATTTCTTAAATAATCCCTTTACAGGTACAGTATCCTTGTTCTCATGAAAGATAAAATGCTTTTATTGAATTCTTGGCCATTCATAGTACGGCACTTGAGGCAGACCATAGACAGACTACAAGAAAATGCAAACAAGGTTAGTCACTGTGAATAGTCATAACCTATGAAGAAATATTGAACATAGATAAAAATAAATTTAAGTAGAACCTCCTAAAAATGTTAATGGAACATTTGCTTTTCATCCTACACTCTGAAAGATTGAAAAATTATTATCAATCAGTTTTATTGGCATCTGGCAGGTGTACGAAGCAGAGGAATCAAAAGTTAGTCACAGAGCTTTGAGATCAGCAACAATGATGTCCGATAATTTCCGAAGGCAGCGGGGTAAGTGAACTTACTCTTAAGGTAATGATGGGAAGGATATAAATAATATATTGTTTCCATTTATCCAATAACTTCATATACACAGGCATAATTGCTGCCTGTTCTAGATATATCTCAACCTATTTTGTTTTCGTGCAAAGAAAAAAAGAAGGAAAATAGATATCAGTTGTAATTGATTTTGTAAAGATTGTGACATCACAACACATGATATGATGATTATATGATGTATATTTAACCCTAGAAGAACCCTTGCGCTTATTTCTATATTCCTCAGCTGTAGGCCAGCCAAGGTCACTCCCACAGCTTGCAGGAGACGAAGGGGTGTGGCAGTACCTCCACTCCTCCTTCTCTTGGCTAATGAAGGCTGGGGGTTTGAGGCTGCAAGAGCGGCTGGTGGAGGGCCCCCCCGTCAATGCCTTTGTGGCCAATGATGAAGCTGATGGCATAGGTAAGGCAGATGCTTGGCTGTGTGTGTGGTGTGGTGTGTGTGTGTGTGTGTGTGTGTGTGTGTGTGTGTGTGTGTGTGTGTGTGTGTGTGTGTGGTGTGTGTGTGTGTGTGTGTGTGTGTGTGTGTGTGTGTGTGTGTGTGTTGTGTGTGTGTGTGTGTGTGTGTGTGTGTGTGTGTGTGTGTGTGTGTGTGTGTGTGTGTGTGTGTGTGTGTGTGTGTGTGTGTGTGTGTGTGTGTGTGTGTGTGTGTGTGTGTGTGTGTGTGTGTGTGTGTGTGTGTGTGTGTTGTGTGATGTGTATGTGTTTGTGTGTGATGATGTGTGTGTCTGTGTGTGATGATATGATGATGATGATGATAATTTTAGTTGTAATTATGATTATGGTGATGGTAATATTAATAACCATTTTTTGTTGTAAAAATAAAAACTTTTTGTACCCCAAATTATGGAATGGGGTAAACATTTAAGATCAAATAGGCCCAGTAATTGACTTCTTGGTAAGAGCTTGTGAAGCTATCTATGTGTAAATGAAACTCCTTTATGAAAATTATAGGAAACTGTCTATGTACTTATCACCAGTCATTAACAGATTAAAAGACAGGATACTTGCATAAAAGAGGAAAAAGGACAACACCAAATCAAACTGATAAAAGGGTCTTTGAATTACACATGCAGGTATTAACATCCGAGAGTTGTACAATGCCCTGGGTGCTGCAGCCTTTCACACGGTTGCTCGCAGCTTGTTGATTGGCCACCAAGTTGTCTTCAGAGGTCCTGCCGAAGGTGTCGTTGCTGGGGTTGTGAGGTCGCTTAAGGTAACCTAACTTCTTTTTTTGTTGATACTTAAGTGCTAAAGAGTCAGATTGTTGTTGCATACCGTTACTGTTAGACAATTGGTTCACGGAAGTTTGCAAATTTTTATTTATTTCTTTTTTTAGAATTATTATTATTATTTTTAAAAAAGAAAATCCTCATAAGTGAACATCTGCAGAAATCATACTTTTGAAAAAAGAGGAAAAGAAATATAGCTATAAGGCCTTCACTTTAATGTAGTTGAAAGAACTAAAAAATTACTGAAGTTAAAGCAGGAATAGTATGTAATGTAATCAGTGTTGTTTCTAAATGCAAAAAAGTTTTGTTTATGGCTTGGTTAATGAGTCATGATAGACATTAAGGTTCTTTGGGTACATGACATTGAAAAAATTGGAAGTAAAGAGGACCCTTTAATACTAGGATCATCACGTGCTCACGTAACTTGTCTTGCTGAGATGACTGTTTTTTATTCATTTTTGTCAGTTTAGTAAACACTTCAAAAGTGTGTATATATATATATATATATATATATATATATATATATATATATATATATATATATATATATATATATATATATATATATATATATATATAAATGGTAGAAAACCCATAATGCACAAACTAGTTTTATTAAGGAAAGTGAGACAACAGTTTCGGAATCGTCCTCGATTCCATCTTCGAAGATGGAATCGAGGACGATTCCGAAACTGTTGTCTCACTTTCCCCAATAAATCTAGTTTGTGCTTTGTGGGTTTTTCTACCATAGTATCAACACGGTATTGTGTTTTCTATTCATATATATATATATATATATATATATATATATATATATATATATATATATATATGTATATATAAATCTCTGTATAATTCCTTCTATGCATGGATGTTTGTAAAGTTATTTAATTGTGTATTTTTTGTATGCTGCTGATGTTATGTATAAAGATTTTTTACACTTGCTTCTTAGTTTCTTTTTATTTCCTTTTCAGTTTTGGTAGAGAGTGAAAAGTATTGTAATATTAGATTTTATTACTGCAGTAATAATATAAGTTTTAGATACAGATTGTATGCTTTTCAGGGTGTCTATAATGTGAAGTAGTACTATTCTATAATTCTTACTTACAGCCTCTGCTGCCGAAGCATTGTTACAAGGCAGTAGAATTTTCCTCGCAGTATGCAGACCGGTCAACCTGTAACATCCTTGGACTCCACTCTCTGGCAGAAGTGCCAAAATCTGCTCTAGAGAATGACAACTTATGTCTAGTGGAGATGGTGCCACGGGAGGAAGGCCCAGAGAGGGACGAAGTAGCTACAGCCGCAGCGGCAAAGCTAGGAGGGACAGTGGCTGCTGGCATGGCTCCCAAGGATGCTGATGGCTCTCCCAGGGCATGCAATTCCCCTGAGGAATCTGAAGCGGCGCAAGTTTTGAAGAAGATATCCTTTCAGGTACTTCTTTCAGTTCTGTATATTGAGGTGATTTGTGTGGTAGGTGTGCTGTCTCCTTCTTTTTTAGTTTGTATGTTTACTGCAAATGATTTTATGTCCTATTTATACTTCTTTTATATCCTACATGATTTTAATCTCTTGGATTATTAAAAGTATTTTTAGATGGTCATATAACAGTACTTTTGCACAGCTTAGATTATTAAAGAATGGATTTACATGACCTTACTTTCATAATGTTTTCTATGCAGTATACTATCTTGTACTGTTTTTATTACTTGATAATTCTACTAAGCATTCTCAAGGATATATATATACATATATAGTGCTTTATGGTAAATTTAACATAATTTCAGAATCATTTGTATGTTAAGAAGTATCATGTAGAAAATTATCAGTGGCAGTGTTTACAGTTTCTGATGTTATTCCAAAATGTTGTGTATTCCTAATTCATAGAACAGTGATTAGAGCTAAATTTTACATTGGTCACTTCAGAATTCAGTATTGTGTAATTTTTAATCCTGGTGTTTGTAGGCAATATATTTCTTATATATATATTTTTTTATGAATTATCAGTAACATGCAGCAGATCTGCAATATTAGATTCTTTATGTGGATAGTATTATTCAGATTTGAATATAATGATAAGGAGAAATATTAAATGTTTATTGCTATAGCCACTTGTTCTTTAGGCCCCCATCTCTCTCTCTCTCTCTCTCTCTCTCTCTCTCTCTCTCTCTCTCTCCTCTCTCTCTCTCTCTCTCTCTCTCTCTCTCTCCTCTCTCTCTCTCTCTCTCTCTCTCTCCTCTCCCTCTCCCTCTCTCCCTGCTCTCTCTCCCTCTCCTCTCCTCTCCCTCTCCCTCTCTCTTTCTCTCTCCTCTCTCTCTTCTCTCTCTCTCTCTCTCTCTCTCTCTCTCTCTCTCTCTCTCTCTCTCTCTCTCTCTCTCTCTCTCTCTCTCTCTCTCTCTCTCTCTCTCTCTCTCTCTCTCTCTCTCTCTCTCTCTCTCTCTCTTTCTCTCTCTTCTTTCTCTCTCTCTCTCTCTCTCTTCTCTCTCTCTTCTTCTCTCTCTCTCTTCTCTCTCTCTTCTCTCTCTCTCTCTCTCTCTCTCTCTCTCTCTCTCTCTCTCTCTCTCTCTCTCCTCTCTCTCTCTCTCTCTCTCTCTCTCTCCCTCTCTCCTCTCCCTCCCTCCTCCCTCCTTCTCTCCTCCCTCCCTCCCTCCCTCCTTCTCTCCTCCCTTCCTCCCTCCCTCCCTCCTTCTCTCTCCCTCCCTCCCTCCTCTCCTCCTCCCTCCCTCCCTTCTCTCCCTTCCCTCTCCTCCTTCTCTCCCTCCCCCTCCCTCCTTCTCTCCTCATCCTCCCTCCCTCCTTCTCTCCCTCCCTCCCTCCCTCCTTCCTCCCTCCCTCCCTCCTCCCTCCTTCTCTCCTCCCTCCCTCCCTGCCTCCTCTCCTCCCTCCTCCCTCCTTCTCTCCCTCCCTCCCTCCTCCTTCTCTCCCTCCCTCCCTCCTCCTTCTCTCCCTCCCTCCCTCCCTCCCTCCTTCTCTCCCTCCCCTCCTTCCCTTCCCTCCCCCTCCTTCTCTCCCTCCTCCTCCTCCTTCTCTCCTCCCTCCCTCCCTCCTTTCTCCTCCTCCCTCCCTCCTCTCCTTCTCTCCTCTCCCTCCTCCCCTCCTCCTCTCGCCTCCCTCCTTCTCCTTCCCTCCCTCTCCCTCCTCCTCTCTCCTCCCTCCCTCTCCCTCCCTCCCTCCTTCTCTCCCTCCCTCCCTCCCTCCTTCTTCTCCCTCCTCCCCTCCCTCTTCTCTCCCTCCCTCCCTCCCTCCTTCTCTCTCTCCCGTCCTCCCTCCCTCCCTCCCTCCTTCTCTCCCTCCCTCCCTCCTCTCTCCTCGCCTCCCTCTTCTCTCCCTCCTCCCTCCCCTCTTCTCTCCCTCCCTCCCTCCCCCTTCTCCTCCCTCCCTCCCTCCCCTCCTCTCTCCCTCCCTCCTCCCTCCTTCTCTCCCCCTCCCTCCCTCTTCTCTCCCTCCCTCCCTCCCTCCCTCCTTCTCATTCCCCTCCCTCCCTCCCTTCCCTCCCTCCTTCTCTCCCTCCCTCCCTGCCTCCCTCCCTCCCTCCTCTCTCGCCTCCCTCCCTGCCTCTCCCTCCTCCTTCACCTTCCCTCCTCCGTCCCTCCCTCCCTCCTTCTCTCCCTCCCTCCCTCCCTCCCTCCTCCCTCCCTCCCTCCTTATTTCTCCCTCCCTCCCTCCCTCCCCCTCCTCCCTCCCTCCTCTCTCCTCCCTCCCTCCCTCCCTCCTTCTCTCCTCCCTCTCTCCCTCCCTCCCTCCTTCTCTCCCTCCGTCTCTCCCCCTCCTTCTCTCCCTCTCCCCTCCTTCTCTCCCTCCTCTTCTCTCCCTCTGCTCCTCTCCCTCCTTCTCTTCCCTCCTTCTTTC